ATATGTATAATATATATATATATATATATATATATATATATATACACACACACACATATACAGCATACACTGTGTTAGCTTGTGAATGGGTTACCATATGTAAAGCATGATTGTGTTTGAAGTTTTTGTATAGATGGGGGTAGATCTTTTGTTCCTTTTCACACACTGCTGATTAAAAAATTATTGGTAGCAGCTTTTTTTTTGGCAAGTGGAACTCTGTTCCTCACAATGATGTAATTATGTATTGCTAACCTCTACTGTACTGAGTCACATGTGAATTTATATGACAGGTTCACTTTAATTATTACTGTATCTTCTACTCCCAGTTACGGAGCAAGATATTGGAAAAGAACGCCAACCCTCAGTGGAACCAGAGCATTACGTTACCCATACGGGTAAGCTTTAGCCCCCAAAACAGTACGATGACTATGTCTTCAAGTAATGTCTATGGATTGTGACTGTATGTCTTTGCTGTGTCTTCCCAGTTCCCGTCCATGTGTGAGAAGATGAAGATTCGTCTTATTGACTGGTCAGTCACTCCAGGATGAAGCTGCTGTCTAAATTTATATTTTAGTATAAGGGTCCTAATACGGCCTTCTCGATCAGGGTTCCATGGATCTCTAGGGTTCTTGGGGCTTGGGGTTCTTTGACCAGTGGCACATTGAGCTCCCACCTACACACCCAACACCAATATTAGGGTCAGAATTTTCCACTCACATCCAAATGTAGGGTTCACATGTACAGTGACCACTAATGCAAAGAGGCAGTAAGCTGACGACCAGTGTAACGGGTCACTTTTTCTACTGATCCCAATTTGAAGAGGACTTCTCCTATGGACTGCCAAGGTTAGAGGGCATCTCTCCAATGACCACATCTGTATTAGCTTGGAACTGATATAACCGGGAAGTGCTTTAAGATAAAAACTCAAAACTGTGAGACAAAAGGGAAGAGCTCTCACATAATAACTCAGAATTGTGAGATAAAAGGGAAGAACTCTAAGATAAGATGTCAGGACTCGCTGCAGACTCTCACAGTCAGAATAGTTAGTGGTAAGTAACTTCACCTATTGAAGCCACCTCTCCCTTAAAGCAAGTGCACCTACCAGTACTCAGATGCCCCCAGGATGTAAACTACATGCTCTGACTGAGTAATGTCTCCGACAGGGCCCAGGAGCAAAGCAGAGGTATGAACTGGTGATGGAAGGAACAACAAGAGTGTTTACCAGGGACAAGCTGAAGTCAGGGTGGGCAGCAAGCAGAGTATATTCCAGGGATAGGCTGAGGTCAGGGCTGGCATCAGGCACAGAGTATTCCATGGACAGGCTGAGGTCAGGGCTGGCAGCAGGCAGAATATATTCCAGGGATAGGCTGAGGTCAGGGCTGGCAGCAGGCAGAGAGTATTCCAGGGACAGGCTGAGGTCAGGGCTGGTGACAGGCAGAAAGTATTCCAGGGACAAGCTAAGATCAGGGCTGATGGCTGGCAGAGATATTTTCAGGGACAGGATACTCAAAGACCCAGCACCGACTAGTGTACACTGAACTATCACAAGCACAGAGGCACAGGGTACAGTACAGATCCACCGTACCAAACGGACATCAGTCCCTCGACATCACAGCCTACATGGGTTTTCTTCTCTTCCTTCTTGGCTGTGGAAAAAAGTTCCGGAGGAGTGAAAAGCAGATGAAAGGCAAACAGCAGTTTAAAGACCAACAATTTCATCCCTTTTGTGACTTACATTATAGGTGCACTGCTATGTATCTATATGGGTGTGCTTTCATTATTGGTTTTATGTTTTCCATTGTAGGGACCGTATGACCCAGGATGATATCATCAGCACCACTTACCTAAACATGTCTAAGATCTCGGCACCTGGAGGTGAAATGGAAGGTAAGTACGCAGCTATTTTCTGTCTTTGCTCATTGTTGTGGTCTGTATTTCGGCTGTTGCGGTGGTGGAATAACGGTGGTATGGCTTGGTGTCTCAGTTTACTTACTTAGTGTAACCAGTTTGGTGTTGGTCTGCAGTGGAGCAATAAAGTGTATCTATCTCAAAATCAAAAATGTACTATATTGCAGCTTACCGGTCCTTAGATGTGGTGGCCGCAATAGCTTTATCTTTTCTTTATTTTCACCTGGTGATCCTGTCCTAGGGTGACAATGCTCACTCCTTCACTGTATTTATAGAGGAACAGTGTTGTCACCCTGTGCTGCTCTCCTGATTTGGTCTACAAACATGCTCTCCTTCCATATCCATTAACTCAATCCTCTAAACTCCTCCTGTAACTAAAACATCATTTTACATTGCATTGACCAGACAAATGGAAATCAAACATTTAATACAAATTATGTAAAAATAAGCTACTAAGACAAAAAAGTTACAACAACTTTCAACCTGTTTACTACCCCTTTAATGATGGCCCATTGTATTGCACAGGACAGCACTTCTTAAACTTTTTAATGTTTTACAACTATTTATAACAGCCAATCTTTCCCAAGTACCCCCTGATGTGTATCTATTTCTTATATGTACCTCCTTAGGTGAGCACAGCTATCAAACAGCATACCCCCTACCCTCTGGCAAAGCACCTTGTCCCATGCTGATGAGGACAAGGGCCTCTATCCCACAACCCTGGCCTGGTGGTTGGGAAGGTCTGTGAGCGGGGGGCAAATTAGAATCTGAAAGCCCCCTTTGGAAATATAGGGGCCCCCAGATGTTGCCTCCTCCCACACATGAATGAGTAAGGGTTACATAGTACCCCTATTCTTTCATAGAAAAAAAGTAAACAGTAAATAAAGACATCCAGACATTTGACAAGTCCTTTATTAAAAAATAAATAACCCCAAAAATGTCCCACGCTGCACATCCATCTTTAATCACGCCTTCCAGTGAACTGGATCCTCATCAATCATTATGAACAATATCCATGGAAAGAAAACACCCGCTGACCTGCCCACACCAAACGTCAATGGCAGTTTCTGGAGCTGTCATCTGTAATATAAGGGAAGGGATGGGGAATGGATAGTGGTGACATCATGGTGTTATAATGCCTTGGCCATATCTGGGCAATGAAATAGTACAAGCGAGATCTCAGAGGTGGATTCCGCATGTTCGCGGCTATAGTAATAGCCACATCATTTTCTGTATCAGAGACAATGGTCACCAGGACAAAGGGAGAGGGTGAATCTAGCTGGAGCACAGGGAGCAATGGAAACCAAACAGGGGTTCTTACCCTTCCCCATTCCATGTAAAATATAATTTGGGCATACAGCCTGCCCAGAGACCGTGGAGGCTGAGAGAGGTAGGCAG